GGTCTATAACCTGAGCCCCGCCATGCAGGGCTGAAGCTCTCGTCTTCAGCCCCGGGCACTGAGGCTTAGGCTTCAGTTTCAGCCCTGGGCTATGGTGTTCAGTGTAACACCAGCTCCAGCGACCACATTAAAACAGGGACATGACCCACTTTGGGGTCCTGACCACAGTTGCCAACTTTCACGCACTAAATAAGCACCCTGACTTTCACAATAATGCAAAAATCAAGCTAATCCCTTTTCAAAACAAGGCCTAAACAAGCCAATCCCTAAGAACCCCAACACTATGTGAATGGATCCCCCCCGGCGTGCAGTCTGGGACTGTAGTCAGCCCACTGTGCACCCCTGACTCTCTCTCCCCCCGGCCCCTGCTTGCCCCCCCGCTCCTGCAACAAGCTATAAGCAGAACAAGCAAAAAGCTACAAACCAAAAACTAGCCAACAAACAACTCACAAGCCAATTAAGCCAAAAAGAAGCCCAATTTCTGTGTTTTTTTCATGGGTTTGGCATGTCTGGTCCTGACCCACAGTTTGAGAACCACTGGTCTAGATAATTTAGGAATATGTTGAATAGCAGTGGTCTAAGTACAGATCCTTGTGGGACCTTGGTATTTACCTCTCTTCTGTGTGAAAACTGATAATTTATTCCTACCCTTTGTTTCGTATCTTTTAACCAGTTACCAGTCCATGAGAGGACATTTCCATTACTTTGTTTAGGAGCTTTTGTTGAGGGACCTTCTCAAAGGCTTTCTAAAAGTCCAAGTATACTATACCTATTAGATCACCCTTGTCTACGTATTTGTTGGCCCCCTCAATGAATTCTTATAGATTGGTGAGGCACGATTGCCCTTCAAAAAGTTTTGTTGACTCTTCCCCAACATATTGTGTTTATCTCTGCGTCTGACAATTTTGTTCTTTACTATAGTTTCCAACCACATTGCCTGGTACTCAAGTTAGGCTTACTGGCCTGTAATTGCCAGGCTCACCTCTGGAGCCATTTTAAAAGATAGGTGTTACATTAGCTACCCTCTAGTCATCTGGACAGAGGCTGATTTAAGGGGTAGGTTACATACCACAGTCAGTAGTTCTGGAATTTCATATTTCAGTTCCTTCAGCATTCTGGGACAGTTCCAGAGATCTGTGACCTAAAAAGAATGGCTGAAGTGTTGGAATCTCCCTCACATCCTCTGCAGTGAAGAACAATGCAAAAAAAAAATCATTTAGCTTCACCGCAATGGACTTTTTCTTCTTTGAGTGCTCCTCTACCATCCAATGGCCCCACTGATTGTTTGGCTAGCTCCCCACTTCGGATGTAACTAACAAAAAATTTGTTCTTAGTTTTTGTGACTTTAGCTGGTTGCCCTACACGTTCTTTTTTGGACTGCCTAATTATATATTTACACTTGACTTGCCAGAGTTTATGTTCCTTTCTATTTTTCTCAGTAGGATTTGACTTCTAATTTTTAAAGGATGCCTTTTTGCCTCTAACCATTTCTTGTTAATTGTTGTTTACTCCTGGTGGCATTTTTTTTGGTCCTCTTATTGTATTTTTTTATTTGGAGTATACACTTTGTTGAGCCTCTATTATGGCATTTTAAAATAGTCTACATGCAGTTTGCAGGCATTTATACCTTGTGAGTGTTCCTTTTAAGTTCCCTTTAACTAGCTTCCTCATTTTTGTGTAGTTCTTCTTTTTGAAGTTAAAAGCTACTGCTATGGGATCCTTTCATATTTCCCCCCCTACAGGGATGTTAAATTTAAATATATTAGGTTGGTATTACTGAGTGATATAGTGGCCTCTTGGACCAGATTCTGTGCTCTACTTAGCACTAAATCAAGAATTGCCTCTTTCCTTGTGAGATCCAGGACTAATTGCTCTAAGAAGCAGTCATTAACGGTGCCAAGAAATGTTATCACTGCATCCTGTCCTGAGGTGACATGTACCCAGTCAATATGCTGAGAGCTGAAATCCCCCATGATTATTGGGTTTTCTGTTTTTGTAGACTCTCTAATCTCCCTGAGCCTTTCATAGTCACTTTCACCATCCTGGTCAGGTGGTTGGAAGTAGATTCCAGTTGCTATTCTCTTATTATTGAAGCATGGAATTTCTCTCCATAGAGATTTTATGGTACTCTTTGATTCATTTAAGATTTTTACTATAGTTGATTCTATGATTTCTTTCACATATTCTGCCATTCCCCCAGCAGGGCGACCTACTCTGTCATTCCTATATATTTTGTACGCTGATATTACCATGTCCCATTCATTATCATTGTTCCACCAAGTTTTTGTGATCCCTATTGTATCAATATCCTCATTTCATACCAGGAACTCAAGTCACCCATTTAGTATTTAAACTTCTAGCATTTGTACACAAGCACTTATAAAATTTGTCAGCATTTAGTTGTCTGCCTTCCCGTGATGTAATTGGATGGGACTCTTTTCATTTGACTTGTTTTTCTTCAGTTACTGCCTGTTCTTTGTCAACTTCTATCCTCTCCTCTTTACTGGGATACAGAGAGTCCCCTTTAATAAATCCCCCCAAGGGATGTCTGTGTCTGAACCGTGTGCTTCTCTGTACCTGCAACCATGGAGTTCCGGGACTTTAATCTCTCACTAAGCAGCCTAAATTTGGCCTCCAGAACTTTTCTCCGATGTCAGCTGCACAAGCAGGGAGCAGCCTGCTAAGTCAGCAGACCACAATGTGACTCATTAAGAGAAACCACAGGCTTGGTTTGGCGGCAAAGGTTTATTGTCGATGAAGTACGGTCCTAGTGCCCTCACTCTATGGTTACAGGTACCTGAACATGTGTATGCCCATGACAATGGTACCTGCTCGGTCTCATAACCTCATAGGCTTTAAGGTCAGAGTGGACCATCATGATCATCTCTGACCTCACCCACCCACTCCTGTACCAGACCCCTAACCTCTGTTTGAGTTACTGAAGTCTTCAGATCATGAATTAAAGACTTCAAAATACAGAGAATCCACCATTTACACTAGTTTAAACCTGCAAGTGACCCATGCCCCAGTCAATGCACCAGTAGCTGCCCTCTCAGCTGGCCAAAGATGCCCCTCCTATGACTTTTCCTTTTCCACATTGGTACAAACAAGTTACGTGTTCCACTCCAGACGTGGTTAATTACAAACCCTACACCTTGTACCTGTGAGTTCAAACAAAACATCCCCATCCATTGTCCTGTCATCCCATCCTTATTTTATGAGGGGTAGGTGCGTTCCTGTACCATCTCTGAAGGAGGGGTTTATGTACGTAGTTACTTGAGAACTCTGGGTGTTCCTCTACCATACTCCTCGGTCAGGGACATGCTTACCTGGTTAGCCAATACCTGCTGTGTTACTATTCTGCCAGGGCCAGGCCTACTCTGGTTCACAGCCTCTGGTTCACACTGCTAGTTATGCCTATGGCACAAGCAAGGACTACCCCGGTATTTCCAAGCTCTCTTTGTACGTGGGTTTTCCTGTTTCCTGCATCGTTCTTGTCCTTTT